TTCTTCAACATGAACAACATTATCTTTCATTTCAGAAGAAATACGATGAACACTGGTAGTTTCGTCTCTGAAAGCATGAACAGAAGGAACAAAATTTTTAGATTGCCAGGCGTATCTAGTCTTCATATACATTTCATCAACTTGTTCCAAACTCAAACCTTTAGCTTCGAAGACCATAAAGTAGACAAAAATACAACCAATAACATTACATCCACCCCAGATGAAGAAAACTTTACTACCTAAATCAGCGTTGCCTTTACCTGAATCGACTAAATATGGAGTAGCATAAGCAATAGCAAAGTTGAAAAGCCAATTGAATGAAGTGGTGATGGAAATACTCTTTTGTCTAACATTCAAAGAAAAATTTTCACTACAGATAGTCCATGCCAATGGACCCCAAGAACAAGCAAAACCAGCAATGAAAATACAACTGAATGCGACTAAAGTTTGATTTGCAGCTTTAGAATCTGGTTGAGCAACACCAACAATAGCAACAATCAACTGTGAGACTGTCATGATAGCACTGCCAAACAACATTAAGTTACGTCTACCCCAAGTTTCAATCAAAACAATACCAGGAATAGTCAGACCAACATTAACAATGTTGGTGGCAAGTTGGATAAGGAATGGGTCATCAATACCGGAACTGGTGAAGAATTGAGTACCAAAATAGAAAATGAAGTTAATACCGGTAAGTTGTTGAAGAGCTTGAAGAGCACAACCAGTAAACAATCTTCTTGGCTGTCTGTTGACATTTTTGAAAACTTGTGCCCATGAAGCGTTACCAAATTGACTTTCATACTCAAAGTTAGCTTTGATTTCTTCATATTCATCAATCAAGTCAGGATGATCAACAGGTAATTGTCTTAATCTAGATAATGATTCCTTAGCCTTTTCTTCTTTGGACACAGAAATCCAGAAACGTGGAGTATCAGGAGCAAAGAAGAATCCAATACCAAGTAATAAACCCCAAGCTAATTGGATACCAATTGGAATTCTATATGAACCGGAGTCGTTTCTATTAGAACAGCCTTTATTAGCACATGCAGCAACCAATAAACCGACAGTAACCATAAATTGATATGTACTGACAATAGAACCTCTAATCCATTTTGGTGCAGTTTCGGAAATGAAAATTGGAACAAGTGAACTGAGCAAACCAACACCTAACCCAGCAATAGCTCTACCAGCTATCAACAAATTCTTTTCACTTGCAGCAGTTTGCAAGACGACCCCTAAATTGAATACAATCAAAGTAGATAAGATAATACTCCAACGACGTCCAATTCTATCAGAAAACAATGGAGCAGCTAAAGAACCACAAAATGTACCAACAGATAAAATAGAAACAATCAAGGAACTTTCACCAGAAGTGAAATTCGTTTTGTTATTAGGGAAATGACTCTTGACATAGTCCATAGCCATAACACCAGAAATAGTACCTGTGTCGTAACCAAATAAGAACCCACCAAAGGTAGCCAATAAACCATACATGATGGCTCTGCTGGAAGACCCAGCTCTCTTTTCATCAAAGTTGATGTATTTCTTTAACAATTCACTATCTTGTAAACCCATTATTGATTGTTAATGATGTGAATGAACGTAGTAGTTGTAGTTGTAGTGAAGCAATATATTATTTAATAATAGATGTAAAAAAAGAAGAATGAAAATTGAGGGAAGATGTAGCTGAATTTATAGATTTTTGGTAAAATGAACAGTATTCTCTTTTACTAAGATATTCCAACTTGTCTAAATCTTCCCCACCAATAGAATTATGATACATATATTAGATGTAAAACTCAATAACGGTATTTTAAAAAAAATTCTCTTGACTGCAAACACATCTCGAGTTCTGCAGGAAAGCAGAAAAGGGACAAAACAATTAGCCTTTACATTAGCTATAGCACAAATTGGATGCTTTTTCTTGGCCAATAAGTAAAGAAGGCTGTTACCAATTTATCCCAAATTTGTCTTACATCTATTATTCCTATATTTGTTATTGATTACTGTTGGAATTGAAAGAACTAACTATCTTAGTATTAGTAGATCACTGCCATAAGCCAATGTATATCAGTGATGTAAGCTTGTATAATATTATCTCATTTCAGTTTACCACCTTGATGATAGTAAGTCACTAATTGCCATCAGTATTATTTTCTCTCATATTACGATATCAATCACAAAGGTAATGTAAAAGAAACCGCATAAATGATCACTCAGCAACTTCAATAAGTTGTTAAATTAGACTAAAAAGGATCCGTTTGCCCATATTGATATTCTGTGTTTGGTTTATTCCGAGAAGTTGAAATAATGACACAAACTTCTCGGAATCTGGAACAATTGTTTTTCCGCCTTGTGTGCAAATTGCAACTAAAAAGAAAATAGATCACCAACAATAGTAAATGATGAAATTAGATACCTCGTATAGTAAAAGTTGTATGCTTTGTCATCATGGAAGAATATTTGTCCACATTGGACGTGTTCTTCATGTTAATTGAATTGAAAGTAATAGCTAGATATCGCTGTTTACTGCTTCATTTTTGTAATCATGTTGTTTACAAGTTAGCAGAACTCGGTATCAAATATATTTTGCTCATACATGGTAAGGCTGGGTTATTTTAAAATTGATGCATTGCATATAATATTTGTGGGGTTAAACCAAATTGTTGTGTAATCCACAAAATTTTTCTTTACTCCATTCAGCCAATGGGATCAAGAGAATCATCTTTGTATTGTCATAAGAAAGTAAATTAGTGCTCACACATAACCGTGAACTACAGATTATAAACTAATTAGTTGACTCTGGGATTAGTCATATTTGAAATTTAGCTCTTCAAAGTGTGAAAGCCACATCCAGTATACCGAAGTAAAACTAGATATTAGTGGATTTCATCGAATAAATTCAAATAGTCATGAGTTTGATTAATGTACTCAACGTACAAAAAAATCATCGAATTCTCAGTTTGTATAAACAAAGAGTAAGTTCTTCCTTATTTACAAAACACACAAAATTCTTTTAATGGTTTATCCATGAGTGGGTGTCAGGAAAAACTACTTGCGGGGGGGAATATCTAATTGTTACTAAAAACTAGACAATGAAAGAAACAGGTTTTTGTGTATGGGACCCAACATCGGGTAAATTCAAGAATATTTAATCCGTATCACCATGCAATTTATTCATTAGCAAAGAAAGAAAACAAAAAGATAGAGTAAGTACATGTAATTTCAGGGCCAACTATTCCAAATTCAAGTTACACCAACAAGAAAATATTCTTAGTTTATTGTTTAGAGACATGGTATGATAGTGATTATCGATTTTGAATGGGGAGAAAGCAATTAAATTTTGTCATAACAATAAAGTTCAAGCGAATCATATAGATTAAAAGGAAATTTTACAATAGTATCTAGTCAACAATTCATTGATAAGCCATCAATGCCTTTCAATTCCCCCCATTCTTTACCGCCAACACAATACATTGATGTCTGATTATTATATTACATCGGAGAAGTTTTAGTTCTCTCCCCCACTACTCCTCCACTCTCCCCCACAAATAATCCTTTATCTACCAATCTTTTCCAGTATTGAAGTAATTTATTTTAGATCGAATATTTTTGTGTATTTGGAGTTCTACTGTGTTTGCATTCTTTTGCTTTCTGTTTCCATACACAAACGGTCGCGACAAAATTATTTGCACTGCTTTGCAGGTAGTGTTTGTACCACGAAAGTTGAAAATTAATCATACCGTTGACTACAAATAAATTACATTACTTGCTAAAAGTTTTGCATACACAGAGACAAAATTATTCATTCATACAGTGGTGTCAAATAAAAATAAGATCATTTCTGGATAGGAATGTCACTTTTTCAATTTGACCATCTCTTAGTTTAGGAGGGAGTTGACGCGAACAATAAATTTGACGAGATTATATGAAAATCTAAAAGGATACATAACTGCGCTAGACATAATTCCAGTTAACTGAATTTATGAAAAGAATATCCATTCCAGGTCTCTTTTACGTATTAAAATCAACTGAATCCATAGATGAAATAATGGTGCAGTAAAGTGGAGATATAGTTTTTGTATTGATGATTTTCGAAATTAATGCTGAAAACTTCTATTGAAATGTCATAAAAATGTTCTGAAATCTTGGGACTATGAAACATCTACAAGCTATAATACAAACTAACTTATTTGAATTGAAAATTTACAACTATATTATGTTTTTGTGTGAAATCATTTATCAAGATTGAAGACTTAAATTAAAAAAGTTGCAAAATTTTTCACACAAATTTGCTCCAAAATTGAATTAGAAATCAACATTCTTACAAAAAAACGCTGGATAGAACCAAAACAATATCTTTAACTACATTGCAATTGTCACGACTATAAGCTCTGTCAGTTCTGAAGGAGATGATAAAGCTTGAGAAGTAATAAGAAAATTTAGTGGGGTAGCATTGGTAATGTGAAGCTCGTGTATTTGTGTCAAAATAAAAATCTGCTACCAAAATAATTGCTTGAAATCAACACCTAAAAATAGAGAATATTAGATGTGTTATGTTTCTAATGAAAACTAGACTTTGAAACAATTACAATAATACCGTAATGTTAAACATTTTCTTTCTTGGTCAGTGTATTGTGTTTAGTTTATTGCAATCTAGAGAAACGAACAAAGTATTTTGGCGAGAAATTTTGATTTTTTTCTGACACCCACTGTATAAATACGACTTGCCTTGATGTGATTTTATTCTCTTCTACAAATAGTGCCCCTAGTAATGTCCCCATCAATAAGATCCTTAATCTTCTTACAGTACAAATATTTTTAACGACTGGGGTTGTCTGCAATTTTAACACGACTATCATGCGATCAAGTCAACTAGCATAGACATGGATAATACAGAAAAAAAAAATCGTATTTAACATTACTAATAATTTAAAACAAGTATAAAACTACACAAGAAAACAAGAATTGAATTGAATAGACATATAGCAATACCGACATTAGACAGAGTCTTCATCGATGTGAGCGACATCATCCTTCATTTCAGAAGAAATACGATGAACACCAGTAGTTTCGTCTCTGAAAGCATGAACAGAAGGAACAAAATTTTTAGATTGCCAGGCATGTTTGACCTTCATATACATTTCATCAACTTGTTCCAAACTCAAACCTTTAGCTTCGAAGATCATAAAGTAAACGAAAAGACCACCAATAACATTACATCCACCCCAGATGAAGAAAACTTTACTACCTAAATTAGCATTACCCTTACCTGGATCAACCAAATATGGAGTAGCATAAGCAATAGCAAAGTTGAAAAGCCAATTAAATGCAGTAGTAATGGAAATACTCTTTTGTCTGACATTCAAAGAAAAGTTTTCACTACAAATAGCCCATGCCAATGGACCCCAAGAACAAGCAAAACCAGCAATGAAAATACAACTGAATGCAACTAAAGTTTGATTTGCGGCTTTAGCATGAGGTTGAGCAACACCAACAATAGCAACAATTAATTGGGAAACTGCCATAACTGAACTACCAAACAACATTAAGCTACGTCTACCCCAAGTTTCAACTAAAATAATACCTGGAATTGTCAGACCAACATTAACAATGTTGGTGGCAAGTTGAATAAGGAATGGATCTTCAATACCGGAACTGGTGAAGAATTGAGTACCGAAATAGAAGATAAAATTAATACCGGTAAGTTGTTGAAGAGCTTGAAGAGCACAACCAGTAAACAATCTTCTTGGTTGTCTATTGACATTCTTGATACCTGTAACCATGAGGCATTACCAAATTGACTTTCATACTCAAAGTTAGCCCTAATT